TGTACTATTTTCAGTAAAGTTTGGAAATGTTCTTTTTCTTTTCACACCATCTGTGGAAAACATAAATGCATTCTACAGTTTATCAACTAATCATAAGGTTAACAGTATTTTTCCTTCCGATCATTTTTACTATTGCCATGAGATTTTATAATTTTGTACACAATTCCTTTCAAAGTGAAATTGTGCTTTTCATCAAATTGTACAAGAAAGAAAAGTGGTAATGCATTTTGTTTCTAATGATTTTGTTATTCATTCTTATACTGTGCCCAACACTATCATTTCTTTTTAAAGCTATTTGCAGTCTAGTATTTTGACAGTTTACATATCTTCTCAATCATTAGAGGAAAAATTCTATTTTCTTCATATCTTTTGCCATAAAGAAAAGTTGCATATTGTTTTGTCAAGACTGCTGAAGTTGTTCTACATCATTTCTAAAAACTGTAATTTGTCTTAGATGTGGATCCCATTATTGGTCAAGTATATCCCCATGAAAGCACTGCTCATCACTTTTTGCGAAATAAGGGCAAATAAAAGAGAAATATAGGAATTTGGATACATTCAGTGAAATTTAGTTTATTTACCTTAACAATCCATCTCAAGAAATACAGGCATTCAGTGATGTCACTTATCTTTTAAATGTATTTAACAAATTCTATAACCATTTGGCAGGATAACCTACAAATATATTTTTTATTTTCATCTTTGAAAGAGCGTTACGAACATCACATCATTACAATGGACAAATCCTAACTAAAAATTGTTATTAGTAGAACTGGGTGATGCTTTGGATTTTGATTCCAAAATGATTGTTTTGAGCATGCAAGGATAAAGTCACAATTCTTGCCTGCAGATCTTTAAAATTGTTCCAATTTGGAGGGAAGTGGGAAATCACACAACTGCTCCTATGGAGTTGAGTGACACCTTTGCACCATCATTCATTCCAATTTCACCTTTTGAAATTGAATTGGGAACTCTCTACATCTCTGCTCATGAGGCACTTACTTCACTGCCCTCAAAACAAAACAAAATTCTGTTACTTCTATTACCTCTTCAGTCAGAGTAGGCAGTTAATATCTCCAAATGACATTTGATGAATTTTGTTTTCATTGGGCATTACCAGAGGTGGTATTCAGCAGGTTCTGACCAGTTCTGGAGAACCGGTAGTGGAAATTTTGAGTAGTTCAGAGAACTTGTAAATACCCCCTCTGACAGGCCCCGCCTCCATCTATTCTCTACCTCCCGAGTCCCAGCTGATCGGAAGAGAATGGGGATTTTGCAGTATCCTTCCCCTGAAG